CTGAGGTTATTTTTTTTTTGAACAGCATCCCATGATACCCTTAATTCTTTGTTTCCTGTGCTTTTGCTTCATTTGCAATTTTAAGAGATTTTCTATAAGAAATAGATTTATTCTATATTGCACATCAGTAAATTAGCTAGTTTTCACTATGTAACTTTAACCCTTTAATTTCGGAGAACAAATAGAGTTCCTTTACAATAAACAGAATAAGAAAGTATTTAACCTTCTAGCATCCTTCAGTGTGCAGTGAGAAAAATGTTGTCAAAGATTTCCCTGTTTTTAACACATTTTTAGTACACTGTCATTTTGTCTAGGAGTTTTATTTTGATACTTGATTTTGTCCATGTATTTTAAGCGATTATTTTCAGGTGACCTCTTTGTGCAACCAATACCATTGACTGCGTTAGCTTTGAAAAGAGTTTTTCTTCATTAACGGCTTCTGCTGAATTGTTGGGAGAACAAAGTGCTGTCCCTAGTGGCTCCTAAAATTTACGGATGCATGCAATGACATTGCTAATATTATTTTTAATGAAAAGATGTTGGAGTAGTACTTTTCATAGTTTGAACGACTTGAACTATAGAGCTAAATCTAAAGTCCCTGAGCCATTCTTCAGCCCTCAAAATACAGCTCTTGTATGCAGGTCTTCAAACCTAAGAAACCCCTCTCACGTGCTTGTCCAGCCAAGCCATGGTGAAGTAATAAATATAGAAACCCCATTTTTGTGGGGTTTCCACACATTTGCTCACAGTGCAGTGAATGAGGGGACAAGTTGACCCGCCTAAGTCTTTGCAGTCATCTGAAAGCAAACGTGTTGTGTGCTTTTTCAAAGCATTTATTTTACCTGAAGGTAGATTGTGGGGAACATTAGACAGCCTGGCAGCCTGCTTGTTGGGAGGGGAACATAGAAGAGAAGGACCATCCTGTGGATATTTGCCACCTCACTGGTGGCCCAAGCAGGACTCATTTAGTATTAATGCTGTCGAAACTCCTTAAAAATAGCTTGGTTTGTATGCATGAAACTCATAGCAAGAAGCACAGTATCAATAAGGACAGTTAGCAGCCCTGTCTCTAGTACATTCCAGTGTTACCAGTACATGTATATGCCAATTAAACATCATGCAGATGGAGATGGGATTTCTTGTCAGTTATGATTGATAGTTTTGTCTGTGGAACTTTCCCCATCTTTCCCATAGCTGTGAAATGGAAGGTCACCTGTGTATATAAATGACCTGGAGTATATATATCTGTGATTTCCATAAGCCTGGACAGGAAGGCAGCCTGTAGAAAGCAGGCATACCGTGAGGCAGAGTGATAGCTTCAAAGTAAAATGACATTTTTCTTTGGTCATCAAAAACAGTCATAATGCATAATTCCTTATCACTGTCACATGACACAAGTCAGATTTGACCGTAAGTGCCTGGGTTTTTCAACCAGTTGCACAAAGAAATTCCAGGGAAGGAACAGTGGGATATGGTTTATTGTTTTTCAAATCTGTTCTGAAAAATACAGATGAGCATCTATATATCAAACTGATGATACAGATGAAGTATCTGAAATCAATATATCAAAGGTTCTTCACTTTCCTATAAAAGTAATTTGGCAGCATGCCTTTATTATCATGTAAATCTCTTCCTCCTTAGTACACGATAACAATGTATCTGTGGCCATCATTTTTTCACTCCTGAGGTTGTTGCTGTGATCTGTAATTTCCATAAAGTTTCCATGTTAACAGTGCTTACATTACTAGTCAGTGCACACTCCCAGAAAACAAAATATCTCAAGTAAATGTTTTGTGCATGCCTGTTCCATGTTTTTTTTTTTTTAATTAATACAGCTAAGACATGTTTTAGCAGAGGCTGAAGTAACACATTTAGATTTGCTAATCTACTCTACCTTTGCCAATTTTTTTCTTTATGTCATACAGAGTGCTCATGTTTTGCAAGATATTTCACTGCTTGGTTTTTTGCTTTAAGAATTATCAAACCAGTGCTATAGATTGTATGTATTATTGGAAAAAGAAAATACTTCTAGTGTGATTTATTGAGTTATCATAGTAAATGGAAAATGCATACGTAGATCAGATGTCGTCTCTGCTCAAATATTTATAAAGGATGGTTAGGAAAGAGGTTATTCAGAAAATTGTGGGTGGTGTGGTGTTTGGGTTTTTTGGGGGTGTTTTTGGCCGTGGTTGTCCCCCTCCCCCCCCCTTCATTCTTCTATGTCAACAGTCACTGAAGTATATAAAATGCTAATGTCTATGTGTCTGGAATATTCAATCATTTTCTGTTATGCCACCCTTATAAGGGAAGTATGCACGTCTACTTGTTTGGTTTTGGCAGATGTCTTCCATTTTCCTTGTTATATGTTAAAATTGGTTATGACGGAATTGATTTTCCAATGTTAAGAATAAAATTTTTTTCAATTATGTTTTCATCTTTCTGGAGGCTGCTTCAGTTATAAAGACTGGACGTGGACTGTGTAGAACCAGCTCCAGGAAAATACGATAGTCCATTTGTACCGTGGCTGTATGTGCATTAAGAGCATTCTTCTTCCATCACGAGATGCTTTATAGCTGGGGAGCTGGGACTGCCCATGTGTTGGCCGTCACAGCTGATCTGGCACATGGTTGTGTTAACATAATGGGCATGTTAATACATGGCAGATTTAGGAGTGGCAAATCCACTTCCACTCCCCTGCCAGAGGCAGTGGTGTCTTTTTGCAGGCTCTGTTGTGTGGCTGTGCTCTGTGCTGGACTTGGGTTAAAGTAAATGGAGTTTGGGGAAAAAGAGATTGATTTATCCAGATGGGTTGGTTGAGAGAGTAGCTGAACAAGTCGTTGTATGGACACTGCTCAAGGGAGGGCACCTACTTGTCCCTAGACAAGAAGGATCTCAGGGGTGGAAATCATTAACCCACTGCCAAGGGAATAACTGCATGGACCTGAGCCATTGTCCAGTGCTCCTGAGGTGAAAGAATTCTTCCTCTGTAAAGAAATGTGCAAAAAGTGCTCGTTCAAAGCATCAGTGCTGTTTTTATGTTAATGTCTCAGGAAATATTAATGTTGGTAAAGATTGTGGTGGTGGTGCTTATAAAAATATACTTGAGGTTTCAACGCATACTGGTTTACATATCCTGCTTGGTTTGGAAAAGCATTTAGTAATTAAGTTAAAATAATTAAATCGGATATTACGAGAACAGGATAGATTTCAAGCATTCTTTTTTCCCCTTGAGGTTACAAAATATTATTCTTGCATTAGCATCTTGGAGTCTGTTGAGCAGAGATTTTGGGTAAGTTAAAACCAAAAGTTCAGCTAAGGTAGAGTAAGAAGACTTGGCGTCTTGGCATAGACAGTGTACAACGAGCTTGTGACTGGTGGCTTGGCATCCACGTTCTTTTCAATATGAACATTTTGTAATTGAAAGTGCAACAGGACATGATTCTGTAACGATCTGTCTAATATAAAGTATTTCAAAATGATGTTTTAAAAATAAGTGGCAACGTGTCCAGGATGAGTGTGGAGTATTACAAGGAACCGCTTATCCAATTTTACTGCACCATCTGAATATTAACTCTGGCATAGAACACCTCAAAAAAGGCAATTGAGTTTTTAATGCTTGGTAGAAGCATTCATTCAGATGTTATCTGCCCCTCCACTTGGGGATGCGTGGCTTCAGGGGAATACTTTAAACCTTGCGAAACCAGCTACACTCTTAATGCAGAAAAACCAGTCATTGTTTCCGTTCCAGCTTCGAAGAATATCTTGGGGTGAGGGCGTTACTTGGTCTCCCTGTGTCCCAGTGGGCAGTGAGTGGTCGGTAGCTGTGCTGAGGACCCAAGTCTTGTACTGCCCAAACCTTGCTGTGCCAGCCTGGAGAACACTACACAGGTTATACTGGGAACAGATTACATGTGTCTCTTGAAAATCCATCTCCACTTGGCTTTTCAAACCTTTTGTGGTTCAGTTTCTTCAAACATCCTGTTGGAAACTGCTGTAATTTTGAACTGGTTAAATCTGAAATAAAATATTAATATTGAATGCTAGGCATATAGAATCTTCCTTTCTTGTCTCCATAAGTATTTGTTTAGCCATTATACTTTAGCTTATTTTACCTTTTTTGAATTGATACTGTAGTTCATATGATGATTATTTCTCGTAGTTGAACTTCTTCATTGCTGCTGACTTAGGGCCTTACTATAGTTAATATGTTCATGCACACAATTTTACCTTCTTTTTTTCTTTCCTTTTTCTTAAACTTTTTGCCATAATTACAGTTAATGATTTCTTTGATTGCATGTTGAGAGGGCAGAAATGCTGTGCCAGCAGCCTTTTTTTGTTCTTTGCTGCTGCTACCACCATTCTTTTGCTGGCTCCCAAGGGTAATAAGATCTATGCACTCTACTAATGCTTTTGCATACTTAGCTGCAATTGCAACCTTTAGTGATTATTATTTAATTAACTCCAAAGTATTGCATGAATAATGCAAAATTTAAAAATGTAAAAAAGGAAAAAGGTGAAAACAAGGTATTTTTTATATTTCAAATCCATAAGCATTATTTCTTGGAATTTTTGTATAAGTCATTAATAGTATGGTGACAATGCATGGTCTGCATAGCAGTAGAAGTATTAGAGGTGTGTAGTAAAAGAGAGTTTGACATTTAGCTGGGGATCAAATTTGTTTTCATAATATGCAGTGAGAGTTTCTTAGAACCTTGAGTGAGACTCTTTTTTAATATTGAAATTTTAATTCTGCTTTGCCTTTTCGAGCTGTTTTCTTTTCAGTTAGCAGAAGTTGACTAAATATTATTTTTTTTGATAAACACATTGACTAATGCTGGCAGAAAAAACGCTTGTATATATTTGGATGTCTACTTATGGATCAGCAGGTCTGCGCTGCGAATGTAAAAATGAGCAGTAAATGTTGGTGCCGGCATATTTGTGTGAAGGCAGCGTGAAGACTGGCTTTTAATAAATCAAAGTTTCTGGGTTTGCTTTTGCAGTGGATGGCTGTATACACAGAGCTGCTGGGCCCTGCTTAGTTGCCGAGTGTCGCAACCTGAGCGGCTGTGAGACTGGACAAGCGAAAATTACGTGTGGATATGACCTACCTGCAAAATGTAAGTCAACCCTTTCTCAGCGTTTTCTTTTCGTTTTAAGCACGTGGAACTGGTATGTGTACTTTATTTCCCTGTAGTCTAATTCAACAAGGTATTCGTTTTACAAAATTAGCAGTGGGACTTAATTAAGTATGTTCTGTAATAATGTCTTCCCCTCAAAGTGATTCAGGCTTTTCTAAACGGTTATTTCACCTATGTTATCCGATGAAAACCAAGATGTCTCTAAAATAGAAAGCATCTTTCTGCAAGCTAAAACATATCTTTTAATATGCATAATAAAAGATTGGAAATGCTTTATGAAGTATGAACAAAATATACATTATCATATTTAAGTTCCATGGAGACAATTTTTGGAAATGTTGCATATTTCATATTCTTCATGCAGATTCCTTGATTGTGAATACTTTGAGAGCTGAGGAGATCAAAGTGATGTATTGTGTTTTCAGCTGCTTCATAGAGGCTGATTGGCAATTACTGTGAAGGCATCTGCCACACTGTAGCTTTTGACAGAGTGCAGCTCAGTGCTGGAATGTTTTTGCATGTTGGAAGTGGAATTGTCAAAGTTCCCATCTTATTTAAAACAGGAAGACAGCTATTTGACCTTGTTGCATAGATATTGAGTTTGTCTTGGAAAAAACTAATATATTGACAGCACATTGGTTGGCCAGTCTATTATGTAAGAATAAAAAGTAGGAGATCTCTGCAAGTTAGGATTTTTCAGAATAGTGTATTAAGATGCGATGATACAAATACCAAGAAAGCATTATAAACAGCATAGAACTGGAATTCAAGAGGTTGGGGTTTTTTATACGTGGTTCGCACTAGGAATGTGGCTTATTCATATGTATTCAGATCTGCTCTCTTAATTTGTTCTACGCTTTTTCATGTAAAATCAAATGCTTACTGCAGTAGCAGGTTTCGTTTTAGGTTGCTGTGGCCCTTGATGCCTTAGGTATAGAAGAAAATTGTGCTCCCAGTCATTTGTTGGCACCTTCTATGATGATGATGAGAGCTACCAATTATTTCCTTGACAGTGATAATTGCTATATACAGGAAAACTTTGCTATATTTCAGACATAGTTTTACCACATGTTAATGGTTATTTGTGAAACGTTAATTTCTAGTCAGGGAAATTGTTGAGGAAGATTCAGTGTGGTAGTTACGTTGGGTTTGTATATGGCTAAAATCTTTACCAGATTCTGATAAACCTGCTAGGATTGTTTGAATAACACATTGTAATTTACTGAGGATTTTCGACGTTTAATTCTTCCCCTTTAAAAAAAAAATACCTTGGGAGGACAGAAAAGCTGCTCATCCATAGGTGCATGATTCATCCCATGTATTTTAATGAGAGAAATGAAATACAAGGTACCAAAGCAACGAGCACTGAACTGTGCTAGAAAGAGAAAGGGTCATGTCTGAGGCATGGCCTCCCTTTAAATTTTATAGCAATTTAATGTGTCTTGCTTAAGTTAGGTTTGTAGAGCAGGATCCTGTTTGAAGACTTTTGTTTTAGTCTTCATGTAGGAATAGCAGACCAGAACAATGAGAAAACCCATTATCACTTGCAGTTAGAAATAAAACCTGTAACCAGGCATAGAGAAAAGTCAATATTCTGCCTAATCAATATTTTTAGAAATTGAAATTGCATCAAAGACACGTGTATCTCTATTTGATCATGCATCAGCATGAGATGGGAAAAGGATACATTAATTGACATGCACAGGGAGGGAAATGTACAGTTTGCATGCAGAGGCTGAGAATTAGATACTCTTGATTTCTTAGAATTTTTTTCCTTAAAAACATACTTGTGTTCACCAACTGTTGTTTTCTTTTACTTTTCCCTTAAGAAGCTTTTAGTTGTAGGCTAATTAAGTTACTGTACCTTGTAGACTATTCATCTGAAAGTTACCATACAATCAAGACTCTGTTTTCACGTTTTAAAAAGCTATAGAGTCACTGGATATCTTTGGCATTCTGTGTCACTTTGTCATAATAGTATTACAATTTAACTGTGGAAACTATTTTACATCTGATTTTTCTGATGAGAGCAGCAACATGACTTCCCCATCCAGATGTGCTGTGATGCAAGTTTGTGTGTCAGCAATTTGTTGAAGGTTATAGGTGAATGGATAACTGCCAGCTTTCACAATGAGTTTGCTTTTCACTTAGCTGCTTGTATATAGGAGACCAACTACAATAATCCATTAAGAGTTTGAGTACTGCAGTGATTATTTTGTTGTCTCTGCTCTTCTCGTGATTGTAGTTGGATGAATAATGATAGTAAATGTGAAATGTATTTCCTAGCATGATGAATTGCGATTCTTTTTTTTGGTTATTTAATAGAATTGCAAAATGTTACCATCGTATTTCCTACCCCTGGGATTTTTCCATCTCCAGTTCTTGATCCTGAAATGCTTTGCTTGGAAGCCGTTTGCTGAAATCAGCAGAGCTGCTCTGGGACGGAGCAGCCTGCGTGTACACCGGATGGTGCAGGGCTTGGGCTTAGGCTGAGGACTCCCTCTTAAAGACCATTTAGTATTCAAAGATCACGCAGCATATTGTGTTGTTTTATAGACAACTTGGTGGAAGTTGGAATTAAATTTGGCATTTGAAGGGAAGGTATGCTTTGTTAGGAAGCTGGTAGGTTGGTAAATAAAAAGCCACTGGCAATCTCCTTTATCATCTATTGTATTTTTATTGAATATTTTGCTGTATTTACTTAGGTTAAATAAGAAGAGGCCTGATAAGTGATTTTTTCACAAAGGAAAAAATTGGAAAATAATGTCTGACGGAAAAATGCAATGATTTAGGATATGGACTAGCTTTCTGTGATTTGTTCTTGTTGCATCTGAGTCAGAGATCAGTTTGTGAAATACAGAAGTAAGAGTAAATTTTCAGGAAGAGAATACCTAAAATAGTTCATTTTTTCCTCATCTTTTTATCCTAATAGTGTGAACAGATTAACATTAGCATGTCTATAGCCTAGAGACACTGCTTTATGAACTTTTCAAGATATATAGTTTTGAACACCAAAAAATAGTCTGTATGAAAGTAGAAGTGAAATCAAATTGAGTTTTCTAATTACCAGTTAATGTAATGTTCAGTACAGTTTTACAGAAGTCAGTGTAATCACCATCTGCCTTCTGTGCTGCAAAAGCCTACACAAAGCCCCCCCAAATGCCAAGTGAGTTATTTGCTGAATGCATAATTTGGTTGATGTCATCTATTGTTGTTTTTCAGCAAATACCTATGCAGGCACCCACGTTCTCATAGTGCTTTGGAGGGCTGGAAAAGGCAGTGCTTTTTGCTCTATAATATTTTGCTTTAATGCTCTCCCAGACAAATCATCAGTTACTTCTGTACTTCATATTGTTGTTCCTTTTAAAGGAAAGTTCATTCTAAATATTGTACAACTGGTCCTCAAACATTGAGCAGTACTCTGGTACCGTCATGCTTTAAATAACAGATGAATGGTATCTGTTTAAAACTCTACAAATGCTTGTTTTCTTTCTCATTTGATTAATAGTCTCAGTTGGCTCTACTGGCAGAAAATGGTCTGAATGTAAATAGTGTTTATGGCTGGAACCAAGGGTCCATAACAGCCTTGTGGCTTGTTATCTGCTTGCAGAGGTTCACCATAAAAAAAGACCCTGTCAGAACATATTAAAAAATACAGTCCCGTTCTGCAAGGTATTTAACGGGCTTAAAACCATGTAAAGACACGGTGACAACATCCAACATGGGTAATTGGTACCCCGACCTTGGCAGGAAAGGAACCCCAAAGTAACTATTTTCTATCGTTAATATGTCTAGTAATAACTTCTTTCTTTTTCTGAAAAATGTTTGATAATAAAACCACTAAACCTGGGAAAATAAAAGCTCATAGCTTCTAATAGGGGATAAAGCCAACCATTGGTAAACTAGGTCTGAAAAGACTTTCAGCAGAGGTACCTGGCTGGAAATGCTAGGCAGTTTCTAATACATTGGTTTATGTTGTTAATAAAGATAAAATATTTGGAACAAATTTTTCTGTTGATTTGATATTTTTAGTACTTTAAGCAATGCCCTTTAGGAAATACCATTTATGGCATAGTCTTCTCGTGCAAAGTCACTGTGTAGATCAATCTGGAGCAATAATGTGAATGTGCTCTCAAAGACAATTCCCGCTGTGAAATAAGTAGTTAGGAGGAGTGCTAGTATTAAACACAGTAGGAGGAATCAGCCTTTAAATTTGTTTAATCAGATTAAAAAGTGGAGATTAAAAAGTAGAGATTAAAAAGTGTGCTTCTATTATATAGACATAATTTTCTGTATTTAAAAGATGAATATTTGGGGACTATTACTTTAAAGTAAACTGTAAGGGTAGGGATTTTAAAACTCTCCATATTTGCTTGGAGATCGCTTACAGAGCTGTAATTAAAAAGGTTGATTATAGAAAAATGGAACTCCAAAAATGATCAATTGAAAAAATGGGGCATAATCTTCAAGCATATTATCTGAATTTCCAGGATACCACAAATAACTTTGTTTGCTTGCTTACTTTTAAAACCTTGATTGATTTAATGACATATTAATTTTGTTTCAAATTATTCTGTATTTCTGAGGAAGAGTCAGAGAGGAACTTTGTTCTGTGTGGTTCTGATGTGCAGAAGGACATTATCTTTTCATGACTGTTCAGCATGCTACCTCTATTTCGTCTGGGAATTAGAAAATAAGTCTGGGAATTCCAAAGGAAGGCATTAAAAGTGAGGAATATGTGGCCAAGAGTGGGGATTGCTTAGAGAAGGCTAACTTGGTTACTAGCTTCCTGTTGGTCAAGGTTCTTGATCTTCTCCCACAATTGCTTTTAAATATTAAAGTGAAAACAGTTGTGCCACCAGATGCATAAATAGAATGAAATAAGATGAAATTTCAGTTGGAAAAGGCTGTTGATAAGCATAGGGTGACACAATCATTAATGTAATTGAAGGTTCATAAGTGTTATGATAGTTTTTCAG